GGTACATACCTTTGTGCATTTAATTGTACTAGCATTTTTAGTGCCAGAAGTGAAATTTCTTCAGTGTAGTAAAAGGATATAAAAGTCTTCCATTAATTGCACAATTTGGTATAAGTAACCCAGAGAATGAAATTTGCTTGTGAAGAGAATACAGATATTCTTACATAAAAATGTGACCTTACTTTCAACAGAGGCAATTCTTGAGGGACTGGCTAATGAACTGCGCCGCATTGTTGAAGAGCGGGAAGCTAAGAATGAACCTGCTAGCAAAGAAGAACTAGATGCACTTGACCTTAAACTGCGCTCCCTTCGAACACAACTCCGAAAGGCTGAAGAGAATTCTAATGCTCTTGCCAAACAAAAGAGAGAATTAGAAGAAAAAATGAAGAAAAACACTAATGATGTAAGTTTATAAACAATCAGCTACATTTGACCTTTCATTAAAAGTAATCAATTTGCTGCTTTTCAAATTGGATCATAAGGGGATCTGTATATCTATCTGGTCATTGTGTAAAGGGGTTTGGGGGATGTGATATCATCTCTTTTTTTGTGGAATCTAATGTGTCCCATTTGCTAGCCAAAAATAAGCCGCCCATGAAACAAAGGATGATGTGATGAAAGTAACATCAGAAATTGCAGGTGTTTTTTAGCTTGCATCAATCATATCATGTGACTAACAGTTTTATTTTTAATTCCAAATGTGCAGACATTTAGTTATGCCCAATTCACCATCTGTTTAGTTCTTAATAGCTATTTCTCATACCTACAGTGTGTTTTTGTGCAGAATTTGTTTCTGATAGTTATCTACAATAAGTTTGGCTACAAGGCAATTTAGTACGACTTATGCAGCTTCATTTTGTTACGTTTTAGATCAATAGGCTTCGTACGGAGGTGAAGAAAACAGAAGATGAAAATAATCTCTTAATTAAAGAGGGAAAGTAAGTCATTATTTTTCAATATCACATTTGCAGTGGGATGCACTTGATACTCCAAGAAGTTCAAAATTGTGAAGTGTAGTCTTAACCATATAACTCCCAGAAGTGATTAACACATAACTTCTCCCCATGATATCCATACATTATCCAGTAAAAAGTTAATGAGATTACTCAGACTTATCAGGTTGAAGTTGTCATCTTGATCTAACACCACATTCCCGTAACTAAATTACAAGGAAATGTGTAGCAGTTAGTGGGGAGAATTAACAATCAGATCTTGGGAGTTGAAGGGTTAAATGTATATAAGTTTAATATCTCTGAGGGTGTGGTAAAGGTGAATGAAACAGAAATTCTCCTTGTGTCATAAGTACAATATCAACCAGACAAGTGATGAGAAGTTTTGAAAGATATCAATAAGGTGACTATTCGTTGATCCAAAACAAAAATTCTCCCAACTCATACTACCAGGTATAAGAATTGTATAGCAGACAGTAAGGAGAATTACTAATAAGATCTTTGGAATGAAAGGGTTAATTCGCCGTCAAATATTGAAGTTTTTCCTTGAGAAATTCCAAATCTGCGTTTTCGCGCAGACATGGATACGTTGCGTCATCTGTCACGTGAGTTTTTTCATTGGCGGGAAATTTGCACCGCCTGCGCTCCAAGTGCAGTCTCTCACAAAAACAAGAACATAATCTGAATGTTATTTAAAAATAACTCCTTATCTGTTTTGTTTTCTTCAGGAAGGTGGCACCGCAAAGAACAGCTGTAAGTAACAGTTACCATTTACAAGAGCTTGCCGTTTGTATTTGAATTAATGATCCAGTGATCCACACATTGTTGTATTTGTTGGTTCGTATCAAATCAAAATTTATCTATTTCTTTCTCTTTGCATTTCACCCAAACAGAAGAAGACTCTTCCACCAAAGGTGCGTTTAGTATGTTTTAACCAGTTGGCATTAACAAAAAACCTCTGTAAATCTCACGCGCCAATTCATTAGGGGTCTGAGGACGAGTTTCGAAGGAGCTGTTAGTTCGAGTACAGAATCTGTGAGCAGCTTAACCATAGTAAAGCAAAGAAAAATGATAAAAACTACAGAAAAGAGTGAAAAAAAAGGAAATTCTTAAAAAAAATGCTTGAAAAAAACGGGATATCACACAGCTTATTAAATTTCGCCGAGAATGAGATCGCAGAGTATGACGGGAAGGAAGAGAGTAACACTGTCGATTATACAACAGGTTACCTGTTCTCTGATTGGTTTTACCTTTTATGGCTAAGTATAAAATATATTTCGCAGTACTATTTTTCAAAATGGCCACCGGGTGATTTATTTAAGTCGTTGACAAAGAAAAATTGAAGTAAATTGATTGTAATCTTATGTTCAGTAAAGCGTGTAGAATTGTCCTGCAATATTCGCGTCGCCTTTGGCGAATAATTTTTAAAAGTATATACCATGATTTTTCCAACAGAAAGGAAACTTTGTAAACGTGGTGCGTAAAGCTCAAGCTGCGGCGTGGGAAGAGAAGTTCATGGCCATGAAGGCCAAACAAAAGGAGTCTAATAAGGTAATTTTCTCTTGCCAACTATTTTCAGTGTTCTATTGGGTGAAGCAAATATAACTTTCATGAACGTGAGTTCCTTAGGCTTGCTTAGTATAAGATAATTTTTCATGCGATGGTGATATGGCGTTCGAAGGATTTTCCCAGGTCAACCGTCTTGTTGCTTATTCATTTCTTGTATATAGCAATAGAAATGCAGAATTCTTTCGAGGGTTTTCTTGTGGGTTCTGAAACGAACTTATCAGTCTTCTCTGTTTCAATTTCATCGCCTGGTTTATGGGATTGGTTACTAAAACTTACGCCGCAAAATTGCAGTGGTTATGCTACATCTCGAGTAGCGAGGCGAACTAACTGAATTTTACCCATTAATTTCGGGGATGATATTTCGAATGGAAGCTGTAGTTTTCAGCAGGATCGAAATACTACACCAACATCGATGTTTCGTTGCATTTTCGTTTCGTTTCAATTACTATCGACAACTGCGAATCATTGATGAGTTGTGACGTTTGAGTGAAGTGAATTAGTGTCAATAACATCCTTCAAATGAAGCAACGAAGAAGAAGAACCTTTCTGATGAAGGATTCTGTGATGGAATGTGGATCAGATGGAAATAAAAAAGGTTCGTTGAACGGGAATGAAAAAGCTCAGTGTTGAGCAATTCGATTATAAAACCTTCATTTGCGATACGTGAATGTTGAGCAAACTCAACCAAACTTTTCCTCTGAAATCATGAACTGATCTCCAAATCTATCTAGCCCACAGCTGTTAACATTGAGAAATTCTGTTTAACAGATGAGCGAGGAACTCATGAGTAAAATGAACCGTGTCAAGCGCACAGACAGCCCTCTGCTTACTGGCCTTAAAAAGGACAAGAAAGACAAAAAGAAGGAAGAGAAGGAGGCTGCGCCCGCCTGGGCAAAGACCCAACTGAAGAAGGGAGGTAACAAGCCATGGGGTGACGATAAGAAGAAGGACGGAGAGAAGAAACCCGACTGGTCAGGAAGGGTGGCTCTCAAGAAGACAGAGAAGAAAGACGGAGGGGATCTTGGCGAGTCTAAGAGGCAGGACTGGCGAGATGGACTGAAGAAGGCCCCGAAAAGTCCTGGTGTAGACGGAGAAGCGGGTGATCCAGAGTGGAAAGGCGTCAGTTTGAAAACCACCGGAAGGCACGATGAAGATGATTAAACTTCAACTGGTCTAGGGTAGTTTTTTACTTAAACTTGATTAATGTAAGCAATTTTGTTCTAAAAGCCAGGTTTTTAGGCTCTTTTTTGGAATTTTTTTTTCTAAGCCCGTGGAATCTTTTCATTGTAAAGATGTTATAGTTGAGCCGGACCTTTAGAAGAAACCTCAAAATGAGTGCAGGAGTGCAACTAATTTTATTTGATGTTATGTGAAAACCCTCATACCTCCATAAAACTCTCCAGGCTCCTCCTCCACCTTGTGCAGAGCTGAGACATTTCTGAGAGACTAGGGTTGGGACAGTCAGAAAAGCTCCTTTTTCGTCAAGAATTTGAATTGGTTAGGTTCTAGAGTCTGCCCTTTTGATCAAGGTGTCATTGGCAATTAGACAGAAAACTGCCGATCTTGGTGAAACTGTAATGAGTCCTACTTTCAACCGTAAGCTTTCCTACACTTGCTTCCAATCATTTCTCAAATTAAATGGTCTCTAATCGAGCGCTGATTTCTCCCAGGCCTCTATGCCTCTTCTTATTGGAATAATGTGGAGAGAAATAACTTCTAGAATAGTTAGAAAGTAAAGCAAGATCTGAACTTTATGGAGAAAAAAGGGTTTGAATCATTCTTTCAGCTTCCTTAATTAAGAAAAGTATCATTGTATTGTTATTAAACCCAACTCAGAATCGATAGTTGCTCGATTGATTACAACCAGGAAGAGGGCGAAAGGAAGATGAAATTATAAAATGCCACTGAAAATGCTACTCTAAAAGTTATGACCTGAGTTGTCTTAGATTGTTTAATCAACTATGTGTTTTCTATGTGGTTAGTTTGTTTGAAACAAGCATCATGAGAAAGTTTTAAAGTGTACTGTATCTTGTAATCGGGCTGTATTTTATAACAGAATCGTCGCCTTTGTATGGCATTTATTTTTTCTCTAATTCAATAAAGTTGTTTTTTCTAGTAATTCACCATTTTGTTTATTTTATTTTTTTCCGCATGTGGGCTTCTTGATTCTGGTTAATTTCCGTAAGGGCTCGGCGCGTTTTTTTTAGCAGCCAAAGTACTCTGTTGCATGACCAATAAAAAGTAGGCCAGTTAACGGGAAAAGGAGGGGAAAAAACTGAAGGGGAAATGGGCATAGTTTCGTGACGGTCTTAATTTTCCCTTCCCAGCACTTTCAACTTAATTGCAAAACACAACCGTTTACTAAGCGGCGCAGGGGGAAAGGTGTCTTGATCTTTACAAAATTAGTTGAACGCATATTCGGGCTTTCATCCAAATTTAACCCATTTCCTTCAGGCGTACTCAGATTTTCCACATCTCAATATGGATAATTCGTCTCTTTCGCATTTGTTGTTTGATCTTGTCCCTCGTACACTGCACGCATTACGCGCTCTGCATGACAAGACTAAACAACGGCTGCGACAGAGACTCTCATGGTTACCGTGCGTTTCGACAACTTACTTGGGAAATGAAAAGAAACCGAAAGTTCCGGCAGCTTTCTGTCACGCCCGCCAGAAACGAGATCTTGTAATAGTTAGTGAACAGCGACACTTTGTTACTTTATCTCGTCCTATTCTTAGGATCCAGAATGGGCCCGCTCGGCCAGAGAACTTAAGTCGACAGGTTCCCTCACTGGCAAACCAAATGAACATTTCGAAGCAAAACCGAAGACTAAGCCGAAGACTAAGCCGGAGCCCGAGTGGAAGACGGCTTCTTTACGAAAAAAGGAGGCCGATAAACCCACCAAGACGCAGTCGGAGTATTGGGAGGAGGCGCGGCCGGACTGGGCGAAAGGAAAGAACCCTGTCGATAAACCCAAGATCCCTGAAAAACCCAAACTCAAAGCGAAAGATTACTGGAAAGAAGCAAGACCCGAATGGAGCAAAGGAAAAAGCTCCGTCGCCAAACCTACTGCAGGAGATATTAAAAAGATAGAGGAGAAGAAGAAGTACGAGTATCCAAAACCTGACTGGGCAACTCGAGGGAGGAACAAAGATAAGGTGAAATACTTCTTCTTTAACCTAACATCAGTTTGCGTATTCTCCATTCTGTTCTTTGGACATTTCCAAAGGTGCTGACAAGGATATTATCTACTGCGATCTTTGCTCGAAAACTTTAAGGTTTAGTTTAAGTTGCACTTTAGAAATTTAAATGAACTAACCCGAACGTAATTAAGAAATCTACGAAAGGATTTGTTCGCTGTCAAGTAGTTCAAAGCTTCTTGTGAATTGTTTAGTAACTTGCTCTGATGCTGCAAACAAGATTACGTATCAACCACATCTTGCCAAATTTTTTAATACGTATAGACTGAAACGTTTTAACTGACACTTAGTCCTCAGTTTATCTTTGCTATATAAACATTTAAATGTGCTCTTAAATATTTTATATGATCTTCCAACTAGAAATGAAGCTTTAAATCTTGTGAAAGTCAGGCCCTCGATATATTTCGCGCACTCTTTTAAAACTTAAACTTTCAGTACCTGAACTACGATAGAATATGTAAAATTTAATTATCCGTCATTGTATTTTATTTAGATGCAGGCGTCAGACGAACAAGATGGCAACAAAGGTCTTCTTAAAGCCGAGTTGGAAAACATATTTGGAAAACCCAAACCGAAAGAGGCGGGTAGTCATCGAGTAGTGGTCAGTAATAAAAAGAACGACGTCGCTGATCTTCATCGTGCATATTGTTTATCACTATCCACGGCGGTTATTTTCTATGATCTTTAGGCCGAAGAAAAACGTAGTAGAAATTAGTAAAAATTGCATTCTTAATGTTTACTTCGCTTTCTTGAATAAAAACACGTTTTTCCGATTAACGCGAAAGTCACATGCCAAAAGTTAATGAGTTTGAGGACTTGATAAATTTACTAAAAAACGTACTCTCCAGTTGTTTTTGGCCACAATGCTTTCAGCTTACATCGTAAAATTGATTACAGTAACTGGAACGATTGAAATTCAGTCAATGTCAATGTCAATAAAAGTCGGTCAATGTTCTTTTATTTTCTAAAAACAAACAGAAAAGACGCCATTCCTCCGAGGGCATCGAGGAAAGTTATCGAGCAAGCATACGGTGAGAACAAAAATCATTTTTTTCTTAACCAGCTAGTCTCAATCTAGTTCTGCGCATTATAGTGAGGCGTACCAATGTAAGCGATCACAGCTGAAAAAATAGAGAATGACGTGGAAATTAAAGCCGGGCATTCGTTTTAAGTGTTCAACTTACGTCCGTATATGTGCAGTTTCACTTCTAAGTGGTATGTGTATGACTTCTACTCTGAGCAGGCAAGAAAGGATTAATTATCCTCTCTCGGAGCAAGCCATCATCGGGAGTTAAGGCCAAGTAAGCCTAAAACCGTCCTGACACTGGCTCTGTATTTTTACCTTTGATAGAAAATTTGCAGACCATCGTCGCAGTCTGATAGTGAAAACAAAACATCGACCAACGTCCAATCCTGTTAAGCAGCTGTTGTCACGCGAGGATGTAAGAAGTGAGCTGTAAGGTGTGGATTGGAGTCTAAGAATGTCAGCATCTACGTTCCGTTTGCCTAAATTAGCGTGCAGACACGCGGTGAGAATTCATTCTCATCAAGTACCAAGTGGCTTAAAAGGGTGAATGAATCGGTCGGCTTCATCTGGTAAATTGCTCTTTTCCTTCCTCTTTCAAGGTTACATTTCAGGAAGTATAAGTATAGTTTACGTTTTAAAAATATTTTGGCATCAAAAAGGGAAGTCTAGAGCAAGTGACCTGGATTTTATAAATCTCGTAAATTGCCAACATTGTTCATAAATTTAATAACGACTACAAGCGTTGGTTTTTATCTCGTCGAACTTATGTACAGATGATGTGTGGACGTCAATACTCTGAACCGTTTCATTACACTATATTTAATTGCTGCTGAGATCAAATCTGTTCATTCAAACTTTAAGTTAAGGGACGTGATTTATTTTGTTGCGTTATATCATTGTAGTTAGAGCATGAGAGGATAAGACTGGTTAAAGATATGCGCCCAAGTTTCAGAACTCTGCAATGAAAGGATCAATTAGGAAACGAAAATACGTAACAGGGAATGAAATCAGTGGCACATTAGTATAAAATTTAAGAATGAACAAAAAATAAACAATTTTGTATCAATAAAACTACAACAATCAGAAAAAAAATGCTAGATGAGCAAAGAGTAAATAGATTAGTGAACAGACTTATTCCTGATGAGTGATTGCGGGTAGACAGAGAGAGTATAGTTTTTACTTACCCCAGCGAAAAATTTGTATTTCATTGATATCAAGTGAATATATTCTCTTGGTGATATTTAGCACAATTCGTCAATATTGCCGTTACACTGAATCTCATTCATGTATAATGTGTATCGAATATAGGCCTTCTAATTCATGTATAGTACTTTATCGAATGTAGACCCTCAGTACAACTGTTATGGGATACTGATGTAAACATTTTTTCTGTCTAAAAACTATTTAAATGTTGTTTCCAAATAAAATTGGAAGTAAAATGAGACGCACTCATTTTGGTTCATCAAAATGTGGCTCGTGGTATTGTATACTATTCGCACTTGGACTTGCATTAGTTCACCTTTATACACTAAGAAAAAGAGAGACTGATTCATTATCCTCTGTTAACTTGCATGAAAGTTAACGGCGTTTATATTCTTTGCGTTAAATTTTTTACAAGCGAAATTGTGTAAGCGAAACCTAGCTTGGCGTTAAATGACAGGTGTAATGTTGTAAGCTTTGCCTATACTCTGATATTTGTAACCTGACGCACTTAGCACAGCGGTTTTCTCATTGCATAACGAACGAAGTGAAGCTGCTACCTTGAGGCTGCCATAGTCTATATCACGTCCAAAGGTTTGCTTTGCTTCTTTGAATAATTACTGTTTGAATAATAATTGTTTTTCGGAAGCCTTGTTTAATGCACTATTAAATAAGTTACGACAAATTCGGAATCACAACGAAAGTGACTAGGGGCGCAACTTGGGTTTGATTGAGCGCACCTTCGGAAAACCAAATACTAAGGGGATATAGTTTGAGCGGAGTGGAACCCAAAGGAAGAGATGAGTCAGTGGTGTTTCATGAACAGATGGATAAAAACCGTGAACGGCGAGGCGAGCGAAAAAGGTGACACCTGGAGGCAACAGAGGAGATAGCCCAAATAAGAGCGAGATGGCAAGCAGTTTCTTCTGATGGACCTTTGATCCACTAGCACTGAAAAAGAATGAGGCAAGACAGACAACGACGATAAAGATCGGTGCTAACAATAATTTTATTACCTTGTTAAAAAACAATCAGCTTTCGATTTTTAATCGCTGGTGTAAACTGTAGATGAGCGCAGTCCGTTATATTTTGATGATTATTCACACAGAAATATTTAAAAAGTTTAAAAAGTGAACAAAAAACATGAACAAGTTGCGACTAGGAGTTACTCTAAAGATTAGTCTAAATCGGATAAAGCTATGAAATTCTTGATTATCGCCTTAACTCCCAAGATCTTGTTGGTAATTCTCCTTAACATCTGCCATATAGTTCTTATGCTGTTAGTTTGGAGAATTTGGTATTGGATCAACTAATGATCTCCCAATAGATATTTTCCTGCATGATATTGTATTGATATTGTAAGGAGAAATTCTGTCTTGCTTACTCATGGGAGTTAAAGGGTTATAGTTTTCTAAAATTCCTTTAGAAATCCACACGAAGCTTCAGTTATGTAAGAAATTTCACCCGAAACGATTGCAGCGATCATCGAGTGGCAGTTTCTTGAATACCAGCGATCTTTAAGAGACCAGACTGTTGGTTCAAATTGACGTTGAAAAAAGGTTCAATTAAACAGCTATAGAAAGTAATTCCTATATTACTATGAAGCAGCTCTTCATTTTTAGTGTCTCTGTTCACATAATATAACATCTTTCTTTGACAGTGCCCTCTACCACAAATCTATCGAACACAGCATTTGCGAATATTTTACAATTATTATCCACAAAATTGTATTTTTTCTCTAGCTCTTTCTTCACATAGAGATACCAAATCAAATCTTTCATTGTTCCTTTGCAATCGCCACGTTTTATTTCCTCTACTGGAGTGTTTCTGAGGGATTCTTCATTATAATCTCTAACCACGTCATACTTACGGTTCCTTTGAAGGAGGAGGCATTTATTGTTTCGCTCAATGGTCCACCACCAAGAACGTGAATCTATTAAGACAAACTGATGGCTAAAAACAAGCTGGGTAAGTTGCCAGTCCCTCAGAGGTGTTTTATAAAGCTCCATTTGTCGTAGTTCCTCGGAGTAGTCAATCCCTTCATGTCCGTTCATTCCCTCTACGAGGGAGCCATGACTAAGGTGATAATTTTTCGATCCTGTGTAGAAGACTAGTTCCCCGGTCCAATTTTCACGGTTATTTGTCTTTTTGCTTTCACATTTCAACATTTTACAAAGCCTGCGGATATAAATCGATTTAAATCGAAATTAAACAACCATTTGAAAGGTCTTTTTTTATACTTGGATGATTGCTAAAAGACAAAAGAAGATTCCTACTCTATTGTCCAAGATTAATCAGAGACAGAGGGTTATGAGCTATGTAAGCAGGGCTTAAGTTCAAGTACTTTTCAAAAGATAAGGAAGATGATGGGAACATTGTTTAAATTAAGGACGCACTTCAAGGGGTTGCAGATTTGGATTGTGCATACATCCTCCTTTAAAACGTTTAAATACCAGCAACTAGAATCTTGTAGGGCATATTTTTTACCTTCAAAACAAACGATTTGCTCCAAGCTGTATAAGCCAGTTATCTGTTTAAAAGACAATTTGACGCTCTAACATTCCCAGGAAAGCATAATTTTCTTCTATAATAGGTCACAATTATCTAATAAACTTGTTATCCAGGCCCGTGCTACGTATATTGTTTCCGTAACTGGAGGAGGATTGTTCACAGGTGATCTGGTAACACGTAGACGTTGACATTTATTAATCCTTTAACTCCCAAAAGTGATCAACATGAAACTTCTCCCTACAGTATCCTTACATTATTCAGCAAACAGCTCATGAGAATATTCAAACTTATCAGGAAGAAGTTGTTATCTTGATCTAACACCAAATTCTCGTAATTAATTTACAAGTAAATGTGTAACAGCTAGAGGGAAGAATTAACAATCAGATCTTGGGAGTTAAAGGGTTAAAGCAAATGCATTTATTTCTGTGCAATCGCATTCGATGAATCGCATTTTCTACATGGAACAATCTGAGGAACGGCAATATGACACACCCGTTGGGCCGGGATAAGTGTCCGAAATTAAAGAACGTAATGAAAGAAGGATTTCATAGTAACCAATAGCTCTTACAGAGTTAGAGAATCAATAGAAGGAATGTACTGTATAGTATAAAGGAAATTAATATCTAACTGAAGTCGCAAACACATCACGAAGCTTTATAAGATCTAACTATTGTCGTAAACATATCAAGATGTAAGTAACTAGCGAAATCCCGACTTCTTCAAGACCTGTGCGGGAGTCAGAATCCTTTTTTTCAAAATCATCCATGCCACAGTTTGGAGACAATTGACCAGAAGAACTAATCAACAATATAATTCTTGCGAGTATAGTGGAATTGTATCGATAGAATGGAATCACTTTCCCAAAATAAATTGAACAGCTAGTACATGCATGAGCGGGAAGTTACTGCTTTCTTCGCAAGGAAACGAATTTTTCTCGTCATATGAAATTTTTTCTCTTTAATGGCGAAATTTCATTAGCCTCTGGAGACGGTCGATTCTTTCTTAATTAAATGTAATTTTTACGCACATAAGTTTTCGCAAATTGAAGAAAACACATACAAAAGAATGTGCTTCGTTCAGAGGATATAGCTTTTGTGGCTTCTTCACAAACAAAACAAATCGCGCAAGATAAGGAATATAGGGATCCCCTCTTGATAAAGGCAATAATTAGGATGATAAAATCCCATTTAAGGGATGGTCCATCGTCCCTGAGACAGGGGCATTCTTCATTCTGTCTCCTATAAGGAGACAGCAAGTTTTTCAGTGTCACGGATAACGTAATTCAACAAAGACAATCTTGCACTGATTGATGAGCAAAGTGGTTGCGGCTTCGAAAGTTTCCATTTTAATCAGCAGTTGTCTTGTCACTTGAACCTGTTTAACAGAAATGAGAATGAAGTATGTTTACGCTGAAAACAAGCTCCGTCTTGCAAGCACGGCTGTATTGAAATTGTAGTTTGATTGTTTTGGTTTAACCGTTGCATCTATAGACAAATTTCTTGCTTTTAGGTCATCTGTTTAGTATTCGGTCTTCGGTTCAAAGGAATACAATCTTCCGCTTTTGAAGGTTATCAAATGTTTCCAGACAACATAATAACGTAATTTGTACTCATCTTCACACAGTAACCCTTCCCTGCGGAAGAAAAGTTTTCAAAATAATTGCGAGTGCGCTACCTGTAATCGTTTGATTGTACATTGAAGGACGTGAGAAGAAAGAAAAAACGGACGTGTCTGTTGATGTGACATGCCAAGCTAATCCTTGGAATCTTTGTTTTATATGAACCATTTGTAGAAATAGATATCGATCCCTCGGTGTTTTTGGAAGCAATTGGAGGCTCTGACGTAATGGGCCGATTGTACATAATTCTCTCATAAGATCAGTTTAAGATCACAGACGGCTTGGATCTTACGTCTTCATCAACCGGATTCGTTGGAGTTGGTCCGGATTTCAACACGAATCTAGAACTTAATAGTCATGCAAAGGCTTCTTTTAAATTTTAAAAGGAAGATTATGTGCGCAAGTGATATCGTACACAAGAAAGAAACCTTTTTGTGAAGCGAGTCATCATGTGCGCATCACTCTGTTTGCCTGATGAGGGTCTCATGGGGTGATGGCTTTTACGACCAACTATTACAATTTTGGCCATTCAACAGAAATTTTTTAACAGTCGACTTTTTTCACGACTATCGGCTAAAATTTGGCAATTTTTACGCCTACCGGCTAAATGTTTTGGCCGTTCTACGGCGATCGCCGTTAACCTTATTGAGAACTACTTTGTTTGCATTAAAAACCGAGAGGTAACAGGAGCCTAGTGAAAATTTCCATTGATGACAACAGAAGCAAGGGATTTTTTTTTACCTTAAACCATTTCCGCTTTCGATTCGTGTCATGAAATTTTTTTATATACCCTTTCATTTTATATTTACTGCAGAGCTATGGTTTCAATGTTTCCAGCTACAGGCTGCATTGCACGTAATTCCCGGCAAATGTTCTACAAAAAACGCTGCTCGAGGAGCTGCTAAATTGAGTATTGGCTGTGTCTGACTCTCCTGCTTAAATTTTTCATTTTGGAAAGTGCATTTATTGACTTCATTTATTCCTTTTCTAGCTCAAACGGTCGATATCTGAACTTGGTTGTACCTTTTGTGTCTGCTCTATGCGTGTTATTTCAATCTTCAAACGTATAATGGAATTGTAAGTATTTGCTTCATTCGCGAGCCATCATGAACCACGTTCTAAAATCACACAACCGCATAGTGACTTAGTTACACAAACATGGACCATTAACCGGCACTTAGTGATACAAACTTTGCTATTAGTGGCACACTTTACATCCAACACAATTAAATTATATGTTAGTACCTTGCTAAAGTCTGATTGTAGAAGCAGATAGATTTGATATCGTGATATCTGTAAAGTTCTGTGACCCCACCGGATTTCTCGGGAACTAGCGACGACAAGAGCTCGACAATATCCGCCTGACTTGATCTTAACTTCAAGGAAAATCTTACGAAGTAGTTCAAATTGTCAAATTAGAAAGTACAATTTTGCCAGCCTTGAATATGATATATACCACACAGTGACTAATACAGCATGAGGACGTAAAGGTACTTTACGTTGAAGATGAAAAGTTAGATGGTCAAACGTAAATCAAGGATCTCCGCATTGGAACTATATGCAAATTACCCTGCCAGCATTAAGAGCCTTTGCGCGTGACATTCAACTTCCAATCTCGTTCCAGTGGGGTGGAAAGAATAGAGAATTTGGGAATGTCACCAAAAGTAGATTGGAGGCATTTTGTTGGGGAATGGTAAATGGAATCTGGAAGGGAAAATACAAAATACAAATAAGTTATATACATCTTCGCAAAATTGTTAGTTAGATAATGATATGAATAACCCTTATGAGGGAGGGGGGGTAGGGGGGTAGCTGTGATGGTTGACGGTTCTTATTTTTCGATTTTGAAAGTTGACGGTAAATTTTTAAGGCCAATAAAAATAAGTGAGTAGTATATGAATTATATCAAGTATTGTACATAACAAGAAAAATAATGGTAATCATAGAGATAATATCCATTTTAATATAGAAGTCTAGAGTCTGCCCACTCGCTGTAAGGTGTGGATTGGAGTTCAAAATTTTCGACTCCTTTTTGACGTCAGTATCGACGTTCCGTTTGTCTAAATTAGCCTGCAGACACAGGTTGAGAAGTCATTCTCATCGATTACCAAGTGGCTTAAAAGGGTGAATTAATTGGTCTGCTTTATCTGGTAAATTGTTCATTTCCTTCCTCTTTCAAGGTTACATTTCAGGAAATATAAGTATACTTTCCGTTACCCAACACCAGCAGTTACAAAAAACGCACAAATTTGTCCACATTCAGTTTTTAATTCATATCTCAACAAATATTTACAGGAATAACACCTACAATATGTCATTTTAAAGTGTATAGAATGGGCTTCTCAGGAAAAAAAAAAAATTCATCATTGAAACCCAGGACTTTCCTAAAAAGTAAAATTTAAAACACAAAATAAGTAAGACATAGTGTAAAACTTGAGGTCAAAAGTCACTTTTCCTCACAGGTATAGGTTACTTAAGATTAATTGATAACAGAAGTAAATCATTAACATGTCAGCAACATTTCCTGAAAATCTGAAAGAAAAAGAATAAATAATGAATTTTTTATGAATTTTTATGTGCACCCATGTCATTCCAAAAAAATTAGCAAAAATTTGTCCACATTCAGTTTTCAATTCATATCTCAACAAATATTTACAGGAATAACACCTACAATATGTCATTTTAAAGTGTATAAAATGGGCTTCTCAGGAAAAAAAAAATTCATCATTGAAACCCAGGACTTTCCTAAAAAGTAAAATTTAAAACATAAAATAAGTAAGACATAGTGTAAAACTTGAGGTCAAAGTCACTTTTCCTCACAGGTATAGGTTACTTAAGATTAATTGATAGCAGAAGTTAATTATTACCTTTTCAGCAACATTTCCTGAAAATCTGAAAGAAAAAGAATAAATAATGAATTTTTTATGAATTTTTATGTGCGCCCATGTCATTCCAAAAAAAAGCAGGAAAAAAAAAATTGTTGGGAAATTCGACTTTATAACAGGAGGATGGGTAGGTCCTGATGTGTTACTGGGTGAATGAATTTGCCTTTTAACATCCCTACTAACTAATGAGAGTCCTCCCTGAGAAAACAAGGACCAAATCACAACTATTCCCACTGACAAAGATAAAAGCAACAAGGTAAAAAAAGTTATTATTTTTTTTTCTGATATTTTTGAGAAACACAACATCTGAAAACATTGGAATAAACATCAGCAAAATTTGCCTGTGGTACTTCTTAGAGTGAAACACTGCAAAACAATCCCAACCCTTACTAACATGCATACACTTTTGACATTGAGGGGCATTGCAATAAGATCGAACCCTGAAATCTCCCCTACCCTCTTTATAACATACCACACAACGTCTCTGAGTATCAGAGAGAACTGGGATATGGACAGTTGTAAATTCCTCTGGGGTGGAAGGGGGTGATTTCATCATGGTATTCTCTGGTGGACTACCATAATCGGGTAAACCACAGAGTTGCCAACAATTTCTTCCCAGAAATCACCCAAAGAATACTGAGAGGGCCTTTTTAGAGCTTCATTGTCAGGAAACTGAGCCTGATGCTCTTTGAAAAGGATAAAGCCATTGATTACAGCCATGTCAAATAGGTGGTAAACCATAGTTTTCCACCACTTCATGGACTTACGTAGTACACTATTTGTGGTTAGAATCTGGTAGCAGCAGAAGGAGCAGAGGGGCCACCAACAACACATTCAAACAAAAATATAATTTTCAATGAATAAATCAATTATCCTCAACATTTATAGAATAATATCCTAAACAAATTCAAGTTATTCTATGGTATACGCATTCGGAAATTATACTTGTTGTTAAATTTCGCAGGTTGGAAATATTTCACTCACCAGGAGCCATGGGTTCCTAAGTCGAAGCGCAAGCCTCCTCCGGCCGATCGTCATCTTCAACTTCTCCCTCGCTAAAAATATAAAATGTACACTGCTTCTATTCCGTAAAATACTCAAAATTAACCGAATGAACAAGCGATACTAAACTAAATCGCCAAATCGCCAACGAATCCCAAGCATCCGACGCGTTCGAAAAATGCATTTCTCCATAGCAACAACTAGCAGCTGATCGAATTACGCGTCTAATATTTCGCTTGTGCAAATAGTTTGAATCGCATCACATCTCATCGCTAAAAACACACTCTTAGCGTAAATTATTGATTTTCAGAGTCGCAAAAATCAATTTGTAATCAAATTTCAAGAAGTACGCGAGAAATCAATCACAAAAGGGCTATCTAAGGCGAACAACTTCGCATTTCAAGACAACATGTGCGATAGCGACCATTTCGCGATGGCCGATATTGACTTCTCACCTCGATCTGCCGGTCTAAATCACTTTCTTCTCCACTTTCCATCCCATCAGCGGTGTCCTCATCATAAAATGTTTTTTCTAAAGCAATTTCTGCGGAGATAAAGCTCACCCGTGCACGCTTCGACGATGAGGCCATCTTCGACGGTGAAATTTTAGCACTCAAATGAACGTTGTGTAGCACACATTTAACTGTCGCCCTTCAAACTCGCTACATGATTTGTTTAATCTTTTAGCGTCATACACACCAAATTTGGAAGGAATCGGGAGTAACGCAATATTCGACGAGACAACCGGAAATATGGGTGGAATTCCACCCATCGCCGCGGGGGGCTGCCGGGATAGGGTTTTATCACGCCTCAGGAATAAAAGAAAATGAAAATATTCACGAGTTTTTCACATGTTGTCAATCAATCACATGTTTTCATTCAAATTAAGAAAGGAGTTCACTACAGTATGATGCTTTATCACACTCATAAAGTTTGATAATATATGAAACTCATGGATAGCGCGTCATTGCAGTGTTTCACCAGGGTTTCAGACAACATGCACGTGACGAAATTGGCGTGTCTCGGTTGGATGATCACCTTATGAATAATTAATTAATGAGTTTGAGAAGTCTGGAGTTAGTGACCTAGATGCTATAAATCTCGTAAATTGCCAACATTGTTCATAAATCTTATAACGACTACAAGCATTGGTTTTTATTTCGTTGAACTTATGTACAGATGATATGTGGACGTCAATATTCTGAACCATTTACTACACTATATTTAATTGCTGCTGAGATCAAATCTGTTTATTCAAACTTTAAATTAACTGTGATTTATTTTGTTGCGTTGTATCATTGTAGTTAGAGCATGAGAGGATAAGACTGGTTAAAGACGTATGTCTAAGTTTCAGAACCCCGCAACGAAAGGAACAATTAAGAAACGAAAATACGTAACAGCGAATGAAATTAGTGGCACATTAGAATACTAAAGGGGACATAGCGAGGTGGAACCCAAAGGGAGAATTGAGTCAGTGGTGTTTCATGAACAGATGGATAAAAATCGTGAATGACGAGGCGAGCGAAGCCAGCACGAGTCAGCATCATCATTTTTAACTTTGAATAGAAAATCCAAGTACTAGCAAGTAGAATCTTATAGAGTATATTTTTTTTTACCGGCAAAGTTCGATTTGCTCTAAACTGTATAAACCGGCTGCCTGTCTAAAAGACATTTTGACGCTCTAATATTCCCAGGAAAGCATAATTTTCTTCTATGATAAGTCACAATCATCAAATAAACTTGTACTCAAGGCCCGTGCTAAATAAGTTGTTTCCGTAATTGGAAGAGAATGGTTCACAGGTAATCTTGTAACTCGTAGATAGACGTGGACATTTATTTTCAAAAGCAAATGCATTTATTTCTGTACGATCGCATTCGGTGAATCGCATTTTCTTTCACATGGTACATTCAGAGGAAGGGCAATATGACACACCTGTGTGGTCGGAGTAAGTGTCCGTAGTTGAAGAAAGTGATGAAAGAAGGATTTTCTAGTAACTAATAGCTCTTACAGAGGTAGAGAATCAACGAGAGGAATGTACTATCTAGTATAGAGAAAATTAATATAAATGAAGTCACAAACACATCACGAAGCTTACAAGATCTAACAGATGTCGTAAACATATCAAGATGTTTTGGAAGATCTGTTTGAAATAACCAGCGCAATCAGGACTTCTTCAAGACCTGAGCGGCAGTCAGAATCCTTTTTTTCAAAATCACTCATGCTATAGTTTGGAGGCAATTGACCAGAAGAAATGATCAAAAATATAATTCACGGATAACACAGTTCAACAAAGACAATCATGCACAGATTGATGAGTAAAATGGTTGCGGCTTCGAAAGTTTCCATTTTAATCAGTAGATGTTTTGTCACTTGAACCTGTTTAACAGAGATAAGAATGAAGTATGTTGCTGCTGAAAACAAGCTCCGTCTTGCCAACGCGGCTGTATTGATATTGTGGTTTGATTGTTTTGGTTTAATCTTTGCATCTAAAGACAAATTTCGGAGCTCAGAGGATTGAGGAACCAGTCTTCGGTTCAAAGAAATTTATAATAAAGTTCGGATATAACGCGTGCTGTCATTGGTTGAAAGAGCGTGCTCTATGAGAGTTAAGAGCATAGAGCTGAGCTAAAGCTGTCAAGCCATCTGGCAAATTGTGCAAAAGGTCAGACCTTTTCCGGGACTTCTCTCTAGCATTTTTTTCGTTAATTGAAAGTGAAATTTCGGAGCAAGCAAGTCGGCAAGTAGCAACAGAAGAACCAAACAAAGGTTTGTGAAAATGCCAGGCGCCGTTATTTGTTATAAATGTTAGCCGTAAAAGCCATCACCCCATGAGACCCTCAATAAGGCAAACATGCAGACTGATGCGCGCATGATGACTCCTTTCACAAACGGGTTCCTTTCGTGTGTACGATATCACCTGCGCACAAAGTCTTCCTTTAGAAGAAGCCTTTGGAAGACTATCAATTCAATCTTCAAATTTGTAAAGGAATTCTAAGCATTTGCTTCATTCACGAGCCATCATGAACCACGTTCTAAAATCACACAACCGCATACTTAGGTTACTTAGTTACACAAACACGAACCATTAACCATTTAATGATACAAACTCTGCTATCAGGCCTGCTCTGCTATTGAAGGTACACTTTATATCCGACAGAATTAAATATGTGTTACTACCTGGCTGAAGTCTGATTGTAGAGGCAGATGGATTTGATATCTGTGAAATTCTGTGACCCAACTCGATTTCTCGGGAACTAGCGACGGCGAGAGCTCGATAATATCCGCCTGACTTGATCTTGACTTCAAGGAAAATGTTAAGAAGCAGTTCAAATTATCAAATTAGACAGAACAACTTTCCCAGCCTTGAATATGATATATACCAAACAATGACTAATATAGCACGAGGACATAAAAGTAACATATGTTAAAGATGAAGAGTTAGATCGCCAAACGTCAATCTAGGATTTCCACGTTGCAACTATGCAAATTAAGAGCCTTTGCGCATGACATTCAACTTCCAATCTCGTACCAGTGAGGTGGAAAGAAAAGAAACTCTGGGAATGTCACCAGAAAGAGGATGGAGGCATTTTGCATAGGGAATAGTAAGTGGAATCTGGAAACGAAAATGCAAAATAAAAATAAGTTATATCCATCTTCGCAAAATTGTGAGTAAAGAGAGAAAATGTTAAAATAATTTTTTTTCAAGGAACATCATTCCATGTTGTTTCGAATAAAATTTGATAGAAACAGTTTGTCAGAAAGAAAGGTGTCACTGTGACTGAGGATCATTGTTTAATTGTACTGAGTTAACGGAGTTAGATGATTAGGAAGGGAAAGGGGGTGTGGGTAGCTGTGACGGTTGACGGTTCTTATTTTTCGATTTTGAAAGTAGACGGTTAATTCTTGAGGTCCTTGACGGTCGACGGTCAAATTTCAGGGCCTTTGACGGATGACGGTCATAAGGAAATTTATTTCTATGAGCCATAATATATGTTAAGGCGTTCTGTCTTTTTTCAGTAATGAATAATGACTGTTATGGTAGTGCCTTACACATTTTTACGATCAATCAGTCAATCATTTTATTTAGTGATGCAGGTTACAAAAGTGACAGCCATGAGGCTGATGTGGACCTACAATTAAAGGGATTCTCTTTCATTGGATTGCTACGTTAATTTTTTGCGCTTTTTGACAAATCTCTTTCATTGGCTTGTTACGTTAATATCTCACTTTTAGGATTCTCTTTCATTCGAATACAAGGTATCTATCTCGTGCGCTTTTAGGATTCTAAATTTCATCGGATTGTTACGTCTGACTCAGTACCACCCGCACTTTTAGGATTCCCTTTTATTATAGTGTTACGTTGTTATCTCGCGGGCTTTCAGGATTCTCTCTCACGGGATTGTTACCTTACTTTCTTGCACATTTTTAGAATTCTCTTTCATTTGATTGTATCTCGCACTTTTGATATTCTCTTTCTTTTAATTGTTTCGTTAGTCCGTTAGTACCTCATGCATTAGTCCTTCGCCTATTTTAAGCATATTAAACAAAGATCAAAGACAAAAGCGTCTTTGATCCCGAGGGAATAATTTAATGATTCCCTCGAAAGATGATGGCGAAAACTCTTGATAGCGTGATCTCAGTCGTACTTTTGTCGAAAGAATGTTGTGTAAAGGCGTGTACAAAGACAAGTTATGTTAGAGGCGAAAAGCAGTGAAAATGACGATAGACTGAGCATCTTTTTGTAAGACTAGTCTACCATTCTAAAGTTTCTAAAACTGTTGTTAACAAGCGGCTAAAGTAGAGAGAAATTGTTTGACGGTTGATGTTGAATATTTAAGCCCTTTGACGGCTGACTCATGAACCTCATTGGGACCCCCCCTATAAAGCCAGACCGGATTACAGGTTTTCTTCAATCAAATTTTCCCTTTCAGATCAAATCGTTTTTCACCTTTGTGAGTTTTTCTCCGTATCTTCCGAGGCCAATACAAATAAGTGAGTAATATACGAATCATATCAAGTATTGTAAACAACAACAAAAATAATGGTAAGAATAAAGATTGTACCCATTTTAATAAAGAAGTCTAGAGTCTTCCCTTTCGATCAAGGTGGCATTGACAACTGGACAGAAAACTCCCGATCTTGGTGAAACGGTAATGATTCCCAATTTTCGCCGTAAGCTTTCCTGCACTTGCTTCAAATCATTTCTCAAATTAAATGGTCACCTAAAGAGCGCTGATTTATCCCAGCCCTCTATGCTTCTTCTTACTGGGATAATGTGGAGAGAAATAACTCCTAGACTACTTTAAAGGCTTAGAAGATCGAGCAAGATCTAAACTCTATAGAGATAAAGGGTTTGAACTATTTTGTCAGCTTCCTTAATTAAGAAAATTCATATAAAACTTTTATTAAATCCAAATCGGTAGCTGCTACCAGGAAGAGGACAAAGGGTACATGAAATAACAAAATGCTGGCGAAAATGCTATTCTAAAAGTTATGACCTAAGTTGCCTTAGATTGTTAAATCAATTAAATGTTTTTATGTGTTTAGTTTGGGTTTGAACTTTTCTTTCAACTTTCTTAGTTAAGAAAATTATAAACT